GAAGAATTCCTTAATCATGAAACCATCACTTAAACAGATACACACACTCATGTCACAGCCAATTTTCCCAGAAACAATTAACCTACCAGTATGTCAAACTGTCAAAAAAAGATGGCTTTCTTACAGACATCTGAAAAAAAACCCATACGAGTCTTTAACAGAAATTTTGAAATCCAACTTAATAAATGATGGCCATTCTCAAATATAATCAAAACATGCTCTTTGATGTTCACATAAATCAATATTCCAGGTGTCCCCATAATTTTTAGGTGCCACTTGTTTATCTCTTAAGCCCCTGTTTACACCATAAATAATATACAGGACTTTAAACTGCATATATACTGTGCAAACTGTCATTCAAACCTGACATTAAGATAAGAACAAGAGAACAAATGAGAGGGAGGCCATTCAACCTATCCAACTCGTTTGGTAGACAGTAGCTTATTGATCTGTGGATTTCACCTAGCAGTTCTTGAAAGAAGGCAATTAAAGTTGCTGTCTTTAACAACATGACTGGATAGCTTGTTCCATACTCCCACACCTGACAAAAATATTGAAAGCCATAGTACAAACCAATAAACAGTGGGTCAAACATGAAGCTTCTGTGAATATCTTCATTGTTACCAACCTGAGGAATGATGTTGAGTTTCCCTCGCAAGTCATGCAGTCCAATACTGGCTATGTCCACTTCATCAATGAGGATCATGCCCTTGCATCCTTCTATAATCCTGAAGAGGCAGCTGCTTAAGGTCGACTTTCCTGCACCTGTCCGTCCAACAATCCCAACCTGAAGAGGAAAGAAGACTGCTGCTTTAGTGATGTTCTTCCAGCTGTATACAGATCCATGCATAAGGAGAGTTTAACTGTACATTGCCAGAAAAACTCAAATAATCTAAAACTTTCAGTTATATTTTTGCACACAATGTGAGGAGAATTGGTATTCATTAAAACTGGGAATTCCAATTCAATATCTTTATTCAATTTTGTGTATGTGACTGAATAATTGAGTAAATCTGTGCAATAAACTCCATTATAAATCTTTTGTTCCACATTTCCACTAGCAGGAAACAATCTCATTAGATAACCACAAATCATTAGGTAACCACAAGCCAGGATCAGGTTAAATCAAATGTTTGGCTGACTAAGTTTCAGTTAAAAACTGTAGCTTACATTGACACTGCTGAGAGGGAGTTCTCTTTAAAAACAAATGTCATTTTTTCATATTTTTTGCTGGTCTTATATAGTGTATAAGGCCTATTATTTCACTTACACAGCTTGTTTCCTGTCATGGGAATGTAGCGAAAAAGGCCCCTCACTGTGGTCTCAGCCACAGGATGACCTAGTGGTCTTTGTGTATGAGCAAGTGAGGGAGATGAGCTTATCTTTTAATAATAATTAGTAATTGCTTACACTTATATAGCGCTTTTCTGGACACTCCACTCAAGGCGCTTTACAGATAATGGGGATTCCCCTCCACCACCACCAATGTGCAGCATCCACCTGGATGATGCGACCGCAGCCATAGTGCGCCAGAGCACTCACCACACATCAGCTATCAGTGGGGAGGAGAGCAGAGTAATGAAGCCAATTCATAGATGGGGATTAT